CAACATTTTTATGATTGCTGTTTACGCAGAAAAAGCCTTTGCTGTCTAAGAATTTTGAACTCGTTCAAAATAGTTAACTGAATAGCATCGATTTTTATCGCTTCAGAACTAACTGACTAAGACATTTCTTCAAAACTGTTATCACAACAAAGATGTCTGCCACAGCGTTATTGATCAACGACATCAAAAACAAGTTCATCTCATCGATGGGTATTACATGTATTATTTTGGGCACTTTTGGCAATCTACTCAACATTCTTCTTTTCAAAAGGCGTTCCATGTGGTCACTCTCACCCTGTATCCCTTTCATGATGGCTGCTTCATTTGCAAACCTGATCAGCATCGGTTCAATTATTTTGACGCGCACACTTATTGGTTTTAAGATAACACCCATGTTCTATTCATCAATTCAGTGCAAATTACAAACTTACTTCTACTTCGCATCGATCTCCATGTCTAGTTGGTTCATGGTTGGCTGTTGTGTTGATCGATTCCTCTCATCGTCACGCAATGTTATCATACGTCGTTATAGTAGCATGCATACGACAAGTCGAATAATACTCTTTATTACTGTTTTATTTATTCTTCTCTGTTTGGAAGTTTTATATTGCTTCGATGCAAATCAAATCCACATGCCTACACCTTGCAATGCGAAAAGCAGAGAATGCGTCATAATTGACAATAGTGTATTCTTTGTCTTTCAATTTGGCGGACCGCCTGTGCTCTCACTCATCTTTGGCATCGGCACGTACATGCATATTCATCAAAGAGAACATGCTCCACTTGAACTGATGAATACCGGTTCAGCGATTTCAAGATCGGTAGGCACCGCTACCACGATGGTACGTGTGAGTCGAAGCAATCGAACGATGCTCCCTATGCTCTTCGTACAAGTCTCTTTGTACATCATCTGCTCACTGCCTATCCTTGCCGTAAGAATTTATGTGAATTTGCCGATAACGATTGTCAAGAGTGATGTGCGCCTAAGTGTCGAGAATCTCATTACTAACATGGCCCTTTTCCTTGCTACGATTGACAAGATATTTGCATTTTACATATATACATTAAACAGTGCCCATTTTCGTCATGAATTAGTAAAACTCTTCAAACAGCCTTACCATAGGCAACGAATTGAGCCTCAACATTAACGACGAAACTGTAGTTTGATATTGTCTATAGATTGAAATTTATTGTGAATTATTTTACTCAATGTTTCTATCATTAAAAATGTCGTGTTGTTTCGATGTACAACTTTGATTGATGATACGGATCTAATAGTTCATCGTATTTGTAGTGTTGCTCGAAGGTAGTTTCGATAGCCCGATAACTTCGTTCTAGCTGATACGAGTGGTAGCTTAGCACAGAAGATCAATCCGACTCAAAATTCGTTCACTCAATCGGTTCAGTTTTCGATAAACACTAAATACCTACTATACATAGTCATAAGGAATCGATTTGTGTTGCAATGCAGTTAACAAGCTACCAGATTGATGATCCGAGACCAACTGTCGCTAGTTGCCAATCTACGATCGTTCATCTATAATGGTGCAGAAGTTCGAACACTGTATAAAGGGTGTCCCATAATAATTGAGGATAGTTTATTATTGATATTGTTTATACTTTTACTCGATGTAGAGGGCTGAAATTTTTATCATATATATATCTAATCAAGATCTTTTATTTCTGAATGTTTCAGCTCTCTAGCTATAACCAGTAGTGAAATACATTCACAAGGCTGAAATACATACATTTTCGAATTCAATTTTTCAATATTTTCAATACACAGGCAATCACCCTGTAGGACTAACTTAATTATCACCATCGGCTGTAACGCTTACTAACTTGCGTCACATTTTCAGAATATCGCAATCATACACGTTCACATACACACAAATTTATGTAAGAGAGAGAATCAGCGACAAATATAGGAAAGAACAATGGAGAGAGAGAATAAGAAGAAAAGGTAAGAGGAAAGAGAAACGAAAATATCAGCAAGTGATATCGCTATCTGCGAGAAACTGACTAAGTTTTGTTTATCAAAACATAGAAGCACATTTAAATGTAGAATCGTTTGCATTTAATAATAAATTTTAATCTTAAATGTCCATCAGTTACGACGATAGAAAAAACTTTAGAAACTTTGTATTGAATTTAAAACATCTGAATACAACATGGAGTATTTGTCGTATGGTTCGCTCCATTCAAAGTCCTGATAATCCACCACCATTAAAATATAAATCATTGCACAACTGCGTGTCACGAATATTAATAAGAAGGACTATTATAACCCTTTGGGGACGGGAAGCACACATATGTGATTCGATTCTGATTCCATCAGCACCTAATCTAAGCTAATCTCTAACGATGTTTTAATGGCAGAAATGACGGTATAGATCATGAATTTATTACTTTCGATGCATGGTGATGTACTCGTTTGTGTTGTGTCCTCATTCACCTTCTTTCTTTCTGCACTTAGATCCATTACTTCTCTTACGTTACTATCGAATAATCATACATACTACGGATTTTTCGTGTACATTTTCTTAGTCATCTTCTTACAAGTTCTCTTTTTTCTAGTATATTCTTATTCTATGCATCAAGCATATATATATATATCTGCCCTTGCTGTTCTTTTTTCTTTTGAAGATCAGAATGATAGCCGTCAGAGAAAAAAACACAATTGAATTTAACGAAATTTTCACCAATCCTGAGTCACAAAGTGAATCAGATACAGAAACTGTAGATGAATCGGAGACTAGCGAATATAGTGACTCTAATGGCGAGAATCCTACGAAAGTTTTCGATGATGAAGATGTTTCATCATCTCGTAGTTCAACTTGCACTTCAAGATTGTGGACAAAATCAAATTTTAAGCCAAAATTATTCCAATTTCAAGACGGTGGTTGTGGAATCGCTTGTGACTTAAATGGAGAGTTATCGATAGACTTTTTTAAGTTATTTTTTGATGAAAAATTGATCCACATTATTGTTGATGAGACAAACAAATTTCAAGTAAACTCATCTGATAAATATACATCTTCATCATCATATCAAGCAAAATGAAGTCCAACTGATTGTGAAGAAATGCATCTTTTTCTGACGACCTTCAGGTTGATAGAGCATATGAAAAAGTTCAGAATTAAAGATTACTGGTCAACCGATCCCTTAATAGCAACGCCAGCTTTTGTGTGATATCATGCCTAGAGATAGATTCTTACTACTTTTGAAATTTCTATATTTTAATGATAATACATATCAACCTGAAGGAGGCAGATCATACAAGATAAAACCTGTCGTTCAAGATTTGAAGCAAAAGTTCCGACGTATTTTTCTTCCATATCAGAACCTATGCATTGATGAAAATTTGGTACTTTACAAAGGGAAATTAAGTTTCATGCAACAAATTTCATTCAAACGAAACAGATTCGGAATTAAATTATTTGCTTTGTGCGACTGTCACACTGAATATATATTGGATTTCGTGATTTACATGGGATCTGTAATAGAGATTCATCATAGGAAAGAACTTTGAATACGAGGATCAATTGTAATGACTCTTATGCAATCGTATCTTCAGAAAGGTCACAATTTATTCATGGAAAGTTGGTATTCAAGTCCAATTCTTTTCGAAGAGTTACATGCGAACTCAACAGAAGCCTGCGGTACTGTGCGACAGAATCGCCCCGGCATGCCATACTTTACTAATACATTACAAAAGGGTGACAGCGATTACCGGAACACAAACATTTTACTTGTGGTAAATGGTTTGACAAGAGAGAAGTCACCATGATTTCGACAATACATGAAGCAAAAATGATGAATACTGGAAAATTTCACTGAACAAGTAATGAACAAGTTCAAAAAACAGCTTCTGTGATAGCATACAATACAAATATGGGCTCCGTTGGCAGATCCTATATGCAAATTAGTTGTATTGAATGTATTCGAAAGACAATGAAATGGTACAAGAAACTTGTCTTCCATTTTCTGGATTTATCTGTGCTCATTTCGTTTCTTTTATACAAACACAAGACTCGTTACAATATTCGGTTCTACGGATTTTGATTACAGTTATTCGTTAAACCATTGAGATGTATGGAAAGTTAAAAGCACCAAGAGGTCGACCTAGCTCTGGAAAAAATCCTAATAGACTTATTGGTCGCCATTTCCCATCACTTATACCGTCAACAACCGCAAGAGAAAATCCTGGGAAACAATGCGTGGTCTGCGCAAATACAACAAGAAGAGCTAAAAAGAGAGCTGTTTCCAGATACGAATGCACTAAGTGTAACGTCGGACTTTGTATTTCTAACTGCTTTCGCGATTATCATATGTTGAAATATTTCTAAAAGTTCATTCTTTATATTTGCGAATAAATGCATTGTTCAGTATTTCAAAAAAATGTATTTATTTTTGCTACAGTAACCCCGTTCCCAAAGGGGTTAAATTTGAAATGCACACTTCTAATGAAACTCAACGATTACTATTCAACCAAGACGAAAACAGAAACATTAATTCTGTTAAAAGTTTAAATTTAAGACTGCTAACATATGCGGTAACTACATAAAAATTCGAATATTTTGTTTGGTACGTGTCATGGATACGTAATATTTAAAATTTATTAGTTTGCCAATGAGAACTTTAATTTGACCCGGACGTAGTCAATCTTCTTGATTAATAGTAGAAAAGGTTTCATTGTTAGATATTAATCAACATAGTTTCAATCAATGTCAATAATACACATCAGAGGTCCAAGCAGGCCGCCTTTTTGTAGGCCTGGCCTGCCTGTGCCAGGCTTGTGTCTTCCATGGCCTGCCTGGCCTGTTAACTTTTTTTCTTCGGCATGGCCTGCCTGCCTGGAAATGCCTGTATATTTTTTTAATTTCAATAATATGACGATAACTGAACAGAAATAACAAGATCATCATAAAGAATGAGGCAAGTGACTTGTTTAAATTTAAGATGACTAGATAATCATTTTTTATTCAACAGTTTTGATATTAAATAAATAATTGAGCACAAAGACAGTAGTATGAAGAAAAAAAATCTGGATTTTGTGCAAGAAGATTTTGAATGGATCTGTCAAAAGGAATGTCGTTCACAGTATCAGGATCAAGAGAAGAACGACGTTCAGTAACAGCTAAACCTGCAGCAGAAAAAGAGCGCTCGACTGCAGCTGAAGTAACTGGTATAGAAAAAAGACGTCGAATGAGCAATGATAAACACGGAAACTTGTGCTGATGATGTTTCCAAAATGGTAATGGGTTTGATTGTTTATAAATAGC